GACTGCTTTACCAGGTAATACAACAAGTTATTGACAAAACAAGATGAAAATGAAGAGACTTGGACATTGTTTCTGGTGACATTTGGTTCAGGAGCTCCCGAGATGGGCAGTGAAGTCAATGGCGCTGCTCTAATGGAGTTTCAAGGTCACATCAACAGATTCCAGGTTAGCTTGGTTATCGTGTCAGAAGTATTCATCATGCCTTCTTCAGCTTTTGTTTTATTGTTTTTGTCAAAAGATGCTCACGTAGTGTTGTTGTTTTTTTTTGAAAGCGCTTATGCTTGTTGCTGCTCAGCCGCCTGGCAGGCAGTGAGCGAGAGAGGTTACTGAAACAAGCTGAGATGACTTCAGCTGGAGACTCAGCGGAAAGGAGAGAAGAGATGGAGGTGGCCATGCAACAGGTACGAGCTGCCACGCTTGCATAACATCAAAGTTGATTACAACATGTGAATATTTTATAGTCAGTACTGGCTGTCTGTGTCATAATTTTTAATTTAATGTCATAAATGTGCTCTGTACTTAAGTTGGTAGGGTTTGTTACAATGCGAGTAGAAAAGTCAACACACAAAATGTAGGAAAGCAGGGCCAAGTGTAACTTTTGTAAAACAACTAAGTATAGTAAAGTGGAAAAGACCTTTGGTTCCACCTTTTTAAAAAGGGACATTTCCCAATTCCACGTATTCCTTTTTAATTTTATCCAACAGGTAAAATGAATGACAGCGATGCGTGTTCTATCTATAGCCGTAGTGCACATCTCTGTCATGATGTCATTGACCTGTGCTGCACTCTCACCTCAGGTTTGCGCTAACATCATGGAGTACTGTCAAATCCTGCTGCTGCAGAGCTCGGCTCAGGCCCAGTTCACTATCTGCCTCTTCAGCCCGTTCGGCAGCGAGCCGGCAGGCAGGGACGGAGGACGTGCAGGTCAGACCCTCAATACGAATCGATGAATGAGAACATGCTGTCTGTCCTCTTCACTAATTATGAAATTGAAGTTATGATGGAGATAATACTTCAACTTTTGACCACCGATACAATGGATATCACAATGTAAGTTGTGATGGTCGAACGAATCTTTCAGCTCATCCGAAGCTCACAAAATCTTGACTGCAGTATCAACTTTCTACCAGTAGAGGATGCTCAGAGACGGGAAAATCTTCATTGGGAGTTTGAACGCACTTTACAGTTAGATATAGTCTGCAAATACATCTGTTTTATGCAACCAACTTATATATATATATATATATATATATATATACACACACACACACACATATTTTTTTTTCCCCCAGTCTTACGAAATAGGTAACAACCAGCAAATCGGGTCAAAAGAAAACTCAGATAGAAAAGAGTGATTATATTATTAGAGCGCGTCTTATTCTCAAAATTGCAATATTTACTATGTCCACCATGAACCCTGCGTCTTGTGCATAGATCTGACATCCAGCTTGCCCAACATGGCATACTCACGAGCCCCCAGCCTGGGCCTGGTGCTCTTCCTGCTGAAGAACAGTGCCGCCGACTTCTTCCGCTTTCACCAGAGTCACAGGCAGAGTCTGGGCAAGCTGCAGAGTCTGGATCAGCTGCCCCCCGAGGAGCTCAAGGAGGTAATGACGGATGCGATGCTAACTCAGTCTAAGGCCGACACGCATCATCTAAGCAGACCTATCGTTTGTAGTTGTGCCAAGGCCTGGTGCCCGGTCCGGGAGGTGTGGAGAAAATCTCGTCGGTCCAAAGAAGTCTGCTGGCCAACAAAAGATTGGTGCAACTCATCAACAATAGAGCCAAGCTGCTGGCCCTCTGCTCCTGTATCCCTTTATGTAGATCTCATGTTACATGCGCTCATATGGGAGAACAGAGTCTATGTCGAATATTACAATGTCTGCAGATCCTCAAGCTTACATTATCTTAATGATACTTAGCAGCAGAGAAGGCCATGCTGGCTCTGATGCTCACCACTGTTTCAATGAGTACCTCCTGATCTCTACCTAATGTTGTAATGGTGCACCTTGTGGACAAACCTTAACATCCCCTCGCAGACATCATTGAGACGTGTCTCTTTGTGTTGTGGCGCCATCTGGAATATTACTTGCTGCACTGCACCCCCACCGACCCAAAGGACTCTCCACTGCCCGGGGCTACTTTGTATCAATCTCGCCTTGCGGACGGTAAGGGTCTCATGAACTTGTCGAGTACTCGATTTGTCAACTTAAATACACCACAATAACATTTATATCATGACGTCCACTTGTCGCTACGCTTTGTTTTTGGCTTGAGGAGCAGGCAGAACTGCTTGTGCTAACAGATAATTAAAATGAATGAAATTAGTCTGGCATTTTAAAATTGCCCTTCCTGCATAATCCACTTGTTTTCCACTGTTTTATGCATAATATATGTTAAAGTGTGTCTGCCACGTTTTGAATTTGGTGTGTATGCAGTTTGTGGATTGGACGCAATAGCTGATAAAAGGCAAAAGGTTTGCAAAACAAATGATCTTTTAACCTCAAAAAATGCTATATATGCCAATAAACCTCCAATACGTGTTTTTCCAAGAAAATTTGGGGAAAAAATGGCTCACAAACAAAAAAAAAACTTTCCAAAAATATGGGGGTGAAAAGTACTGTTATTTTTTCCCCTGCAGATTCGTTTGGCAGCCTGCAGGCAAGCACTGGACGTGGAGCCATCTCACGGGTCACTCGGCAAGATTTAGAGCTGGTAAGGATTGGAACTTAAAGGACGGCTTCATTTATTTTACATGCGTGACTTGATTGGTCATAATCAATTAGTTTAGCCTGGAAGAGTGTAAAATACACCTCTATATTGATATATTTCCCTCGTATGGCAACATTTTCTACACACGGTACGTCCATGATGAGTCCAACGAGACATAATGTGTTTATGTACACTCACTCACCACAGTGAGGTAGTAAAGCAAAGCAATGCCATAACGCCTTGCGAAAATTTGCATGGGTTTGACCAGAAACAAGAAACATTCCACATTTTCCACAAAAACGAACTTAAGTAAGTTTTGTCGAGACTCTGATGTGCGCAAGAACAAGCCGAGACACCAGACCAAAACAGCGCTCTTGATCATGCGCACAAGTGTTCAATAAACATGGTAGCCAGCTAGACTAGTTTCAAAATCGTTTTTCAAGTACCGTATTTTGCGCACTATAAGGTGCCTTGGAGTATAAGGCGCACCGTCAATTAATGGCCTATTTTAAAACTGTTTTTAAATATAGGGCGTACCGCATTATAAGACGCATAGAATAGAAGCCACAATAGTGGCTGCAGTCGTGTTATGCAGCCACTACTAGATAGAGCTATGCTAAAGGGACTACAATACAATACAGCGAGCTTTATATAGCGCTTTCACAACCGCTGCAGCTGCAATAAAGTACTTTACAGAACATTTAAAATACCACGTTCAAGAAATCAGAATATCGATCCATATATAAGGTGCATCGTATCATAAGGTGCACTGTCGGCTTTTGAGAAAATTGAATGCTTATAGTGCAGAAAAGACGAATCAAAATTAGTCATCAACAAAATATTAACTTATTACTGCTGTGAACGGCGTACATATGTGAAGTATCCAAGCATGTAGTACTGGTCCAGCATTGAAACCACCATTTGCCCTGCATTTGCAGTTGAAGAGTGACATGGCCGCTGGTTTTGGAGAGGCTCTCCAGAGGAAACTTCTGGAGGTGGAAAGCTTGTACAGCCAAGTGCGTTCCCGCTACACCTTCATCCAGGCTCTTGTACGCAGGATCCGAGGCCTCCTCAGACAGCCCAAAAGCTGAGAGCTCTCAATCATGGACAATTTTAGGGAAAAATTACGCAAAGCATAACATGACAGCAGCAGCAAGAAACCCTTTCAATTTTCTATCAATGCTTTTTCAGTCAGTCCATTCAAATATCACATAGGTGCTTGACTGATTATGTTGACCGACATTGCAAGGACTGTTCCTTAATGGATAAGACACGAACTCTTTTGCAAATAGGTAAAAATGTTTGTTGGTTTAATTCTTTTTGTGTGCAACTACATTTTCTATACAATTTAATGAGTGGCGCTTTTTCATTGCTCATCGGTATTCTCATTTGACTCTGCTCTGGTGCTGCCTTTTTGTCTCGAGTATTATGGCTGAAATGGGAAGAAAAATACACTTAGTGATTGATTTAACAAAAACAAGATGAAATATAAAAAGAAAGGGGCACGTTTTTTTTCAAGAATAAAGTAAATGAGAATATTTAAAAGTGGTAAAAGACTGATTGTGAAGTTAGTGAAATTATACATTGAAGGGGAAAATATATATATAGCTGATGAAGATCTCCATGCTTAATTTTACAATGATAGTGAATATTTTGTGGACAAAGTTGCTAGCTTGAATAATAACTCCACTCGTATTTCAACTCAAGACCTCTTTATTGAGCAACCGCTCTCTTCACATTCATTACAACCACTGAACTCCCCCCAACTCCGTGCCCTCTCTCAGCATCATTGAGCAGTGTGGCATGTGAAGGTCAATACTTAAAATACTGTAAAACAACCAAATATGGGAGGTGGAAAATACTTTTTATAGATTTGACTGAAGTCAATTAATTCACAGCGCAAAAAGGGAAAAGTCATTCTTTGACAATTTTTAATTTCATGTATTTTTAAAAATATATTTTTTTATTCATGTCAAACCAAAATATTTTGAGAGCATGTTTGGAAACTTGGAGGGGGAAAAACAATTTCAAAACTATTGTAATTATAAATGCCGAATGCTGTGAAGTTTATGATCTTATGAGAGATCAGTGATGGTTGAAGGCGAGAAAAAGTTGAAGATCTTGTCCAGTTAATTTAGCGTTTCTTCTTTCCCCTTACAATTATTTAATATTACCTTATGAATGTATGTAAGATCACAACGAGAGTGCTTTATTTGAAAGCATCCTCATACTCTGTGAGACACATTTTAGTAGTCCTTAGGAGAAGTTAAAAAAACACACACCACAAGCTGGATCCACAAGTATTTAATGTAGTTGTACACTTTTCAAATGTTTGGGGGTGAGGAGATGCGCGCATACAAATGTTGGCTAGACACACAGTGAAGCATTGTGCTCTTTTATTTGTTGACCGAGAATGGTTAAAAAAAACAAACAAAAAAAAAAAACAAAACAGGCACATCCATCCCCTCTGCGTCAGTTCATAGAACCACTGCATGTCTCACTGCAGAACACCTGACAAACTATGGATTATAAAAACGTTTTTTTTCCTTCTGGAGACAGATTTGTGCTAGTTTCCAACAGCTCATGCTCATCTATAAATTACTTTAAATAATACAATTACTTATAGTATTAATTGAAAACAAAAAAAAAAACATTTACATTCTTGCACCAGCTTGTTAACATCTCATTGTACATTTGCGCTGAAAAAGAGAAGCTGCTCTATGCAGACCACAGTCATTAGTTGAACCATTCAGTCTTGCTCGCGACCTGTGGCTGAGGCTGTTGGCGCTTGTTGCAGTGCACCGACACACACGTCTATTTTGATGAACAAACAAACAAAAAGAGTGAAATGTATTTATTCTGTTCAGCTATGACGGGTTTACCCAAACGGTATTTGTTTATTTGACATGGTTTACTTAACATCGTGGGTCCTATCCTTAGGACTGTCACAAATGTGCAGAAAGCTTCAGAAAGTTCATTGTGGAGGAAGTTCAATCAAAGTGGCCAAACGCAATTATTCTATATCATTCATATGTTCAGTTTCTTCCTGCGTGTCTTCAGTGGGGTCACTGGAGACCATCACAATTGACCTTTGTGTCATTGGTAGGGTACACCTTGCATTGATCACCAATCAATTGCAGCGAGATTGTATTTTCAACATCATTTTTAGTATGGATAATAATTATGTCCTTAAAGCAGTTTATGTCGGATTAAAATCTATTAAAGTCTGTTGCTGGTGTACTAAAAGTGAGCAATTGTTCTTGGGTGACTTCCCTCATCAATTGACTGTTTAAACAAATATGCCTCCGATAATTTGATATAAGAGGATTGCTTAGCAGCCCTCTAGGATGTTGTGCAACCGATTATTCCATGGCTTTACCCAAATAAGTTGAGTGAGTGTGAGGGACGCCATCATCTTGTTCACAGTTTGAAAAAAAAGAGGGAGAATACTGACAATTTCTATCATTTGTTATCTTTTTTTTCTCCACGTTATCAAAACAAGGTGAGGAGCTGGGAGGGGAAAAAAAAAATCTTTTTCGAAATAGACAGTTATACTGTACAGGTAAGACTGAGTAGTTGGTGCAGTACAAGTCCACAAGCTTAAGGGAACGCCAAAGCAGAAAGCGTCTCAGTCCTAGTGTTCTTTTAGTAATACAGCACATCTCTTGAAATCATCCAAGATTTAAAGAAAAAAAAGTGTGGGGAGAAAAAGGCAGTTCATCCAGCACTTGCGTTGTCCTTTTTGGCCCAGCAAAGAGAAAAAGTGTGTGTGACCTCAGTCACACAAATTGCAGACAAACTCCCGGCATCCTTACGAGCTGTCCGAGGCCGCTTCCTGCGCGGCGCCGTCCGCCATGTTGCCGCCGTTGGCGTGAGGGCGCTCGGGCACCTCGCCCGTCACGGCCACGCGGATCACTTTCAGCCAGCGCTGCTTGAGCTCCTCGCTCTCGGCCGCGAAGCTGTGGACGGATTTGGACTGGGAAAGGCGGAAGCTAGCCTGGGGCTCGGCGGGGCGGCTGCTGTCATCGACCGAGTAGCCGAGCAGGGGGATGGTGCTCTGGGCCTTCACGTCCTGCCGACATGTCACTTGGTTAATATCAAGTATCAAGTACAACTTTATTGTCAAATGTGCTATGTTTCATGCCCCCGACCCCTCCTTAAGAGTGACGTTTCTGGACTAATATTTGGATGGTGGACAGTCATGATATTTATTGATTGAAAAGAATGGTGCTAGTGGACTTCTTTTTACATTTTTTTTTTCAAAGAAGCTCATCAACAACTGCAAACAGTGATTACACTTCAAACATGATGCCGGCCGGCATTAAAAGACAAGCCTTTGGAATTTTTTGAAAGGGGACAAAAAAAGATGCCTTTCTTTGTTGCCATCGTACTGCATTTTTTGGAAAGGGAAAAAAGATGGCAGTGTTTATTTTGCCATGACCGGCAATTCTCCTAATGGAGTTATTGTGCCGTGAACTGCTCTGTTTGGTCAATCGCCGGTTTTTGGCCTGCCATGAATCGGCTGTTATCAGCATTAGCAGTCTAGCCTAAACCATAAACCTCAGAGCAGGCTTGTCAGGGACATTCACGCGTTTCAGGGCTGGCCTGGAAAATTCATCACCAAAGCTGAGCGAATCCGACTCCATCTCAGCAGCGTTCACGGTCAAATGTGGCAAATATGGCATTGATTACCGCTCTCGCGCCCAATTTCTCATGCGATTGACTGCAAAATAACGCTAGGTGGTATTCGCCAGTCAAGACAAAATAACTACAGTGAAAAAAAAGATTACAGTACTCCAAATTGGGACTTGCATGATGAAGATAAATAAGCGCACGTATCCTACTAACTATATCTTAAAGGCATAATGCTGAGCTGCATATTCAACCATTTGTTTTTATGCTGGGCTGTCAAAATACGGTACGTCACCATGAAGCCGGTCTGTGGTGCAAAAAGTTTAGGGATTGCAGATGCAGGGCACAGTAGGCACACACCCTTTTGTAAATGGCTGAACATGGTGCTATGTGACCTACTCCCATTTCTGCCCAAGAACACAGAGAAAATCACTTTACCTTAGCTGGCTATACTTGCGGGTGACGCACACACAACGATACCTCTATTTTGTATGATCATGTTCCTTTGTTTCACGGCTAACACAAGTACAGTATGTTGCTAAACATGGAGCAGACATGTGTCTGCCAACACAGATTAATCATAATTACTTTTTAAAGAGCAAAAATGGAATAATAGTACCGTAAGCTAAACTACTGAATTGAAGCGGGTGGACCCGGGAAAGGGTTCGGTTCGCTGTTCTGTGTTGCGCTGGGATTGGCAAGTCTGTGTTTCTGGACTGTGTCTTGGGGAAAGGTGATTTTGCATGTAACTCTCTAGGTTGCTTTTACCTGAGGAGCTCCGTAGAGGTAAAGTACTAGACACTCCTTCTCGGGGATAACACACCACATCTTCTGCCAAGGTTTGTTCTTCTCGCAGTACTGCAGGAAGCCACACATGATGCTACTGCCAGTGAATTGAGCCGCTTCGATCTGAATAGAAACAAACAAAAAATGTAAACACGGGCTGCTCTTCCACAGCTTGAGATGCTCCTCGAGATGTTTCTGCGCTCACCTCCAAGATACCTTTCCTCTTGCCCTCGGCAATAGTTTCTCCTGTCAGGATGGAGAAACAGTCCCTGCACACTTTGTTCACTTTGTTGCCGTCGTACTCCAGCGGCACCTTGTTGTCGGAGCATTTCCAGCACACCACCTGGGGAGAAGGACATGTAAGGAACACCCACGCCAACGGTAGCCACAACTTGAAACGGCAGTGCAATCACGTAAATGCACATCAGCATGCGGGAGAAATGCCCACGATCATCTTTCCAGACAAAAGACAGAATGAACTCTGTGTTAAATGTAAAACGCTGCGGATGCATCCGGGGTTCAGTCATGTGACAGCTTTGAAGCTTCAACACTTACATAGCCACAAGCTCTGCAGTGATGTCTTCGTCGCGTAAGTGCGTTAAAAGGTTCTTTACATTTCATGCACATTGTCACTTCATTGTCGCGTATCCAGCGAGGAGCACGCTTTCCCAGCTCAGCATTCTGCAGCAAAAATTAGAAGAAAAACAAACAAACACACACAACAATGAGCATTTGTTCCACCGAGAAGAGCCAGACTTGTTCTTAAACACGTGATACTAACAGACACCTCCTCCACATCCTTGGATGCGTTCTTGAATGACTCGTTTTTTTGCTGGAAGACTTCAATGGTCTCTCGGAATGCCTTGAGGACACAAAATAGAACATGAAGTGGGACTTTCTAAGCCAACGTAGAGGTCAAAATGAAGGGCTTTATCACATTTTTTGGAGTGATGATGTCACCGCACGTACCTTGATCCAGCCCGCCTTGTCCTGCTCGGAGCTGAAAATCAAAATAAAGCACTTCAAAACTGTGAACTTCATTGTAGTTTAGCTGTGGTCATAAAAATATTTTTATTTTGTTTTGGGGATTTTTTAGGCATTTATAGGGTCTAAATATGAACAATGACTGCTTATTTAGGATAACATACCATTGTTTAAAGTGAAATGATAGTGTTTGACATACAATGCCATATAATTACATCATTGTGGGAGCAGTTGCGACTTCTTATTTTTGTCCAATGAGCCTACAATTCCTCTGCTGCTTCGGTGAAAGATGTTTTCGTTTCGAAAGGCGGATGATGCAATAACTAGGATTGTAATTGCACCTGGCTTGTAGCTCTAAAGTCCTCTCTTTCCCTGAAACCTGGAAGGTGTGAGGGTAGTCCTCATTGGTGGTTTCCAGAACTTTCATCCCATCAATGCCGATCCGCGTCCGAACGGTGTACTTGGGTCCTCCCAGGCTGAATTTGGGCACGCAATACAAGAGCATGTTGTTGAACTGGCACGGAAGGAGAAAAAAAAAAGAAAAGAAGTTGACATTTATGACATTAGTTACATAAAGACAGGAGATGTCAAACATGTCAAATATAAACAGCTTGAGCACAAAAGACAGGAGATGTCAAACATGTCAAATATAAACACTGCAGCTTGAGCACGTCTCGCTGTTGCGTTGGGCTCACCAGGAAGAGGTATCGCTCCATGGCTGAGGTGTTCCTGGCTGCCAGCTTCAGGATGTGACCTTCTTTGATGAACTCGTTCGAGGCATGAACGATATCCTCTTCCTCACCGAGCATCTCATAAATCTCCATCAATTTTTTCAGATTTTCCTGAATAAGGAAATGTTAAGAGTCCGTTTGAGGCACGGCTATAAAACCGTGACGAGGATCGTTCTATCTGGCGTACTTACAGATTTGCGAATGGCGCTGTTGGAGTGAGTCGCTGCTGTGGCGATGATTTCTAAGGATTCTAGGAGAGTCAAAAGGAAACTTTGAGCTTAAATGTTCTCGACAATGCTGTCATTTTTTTCAAGTGTTATAATTTAGCACGTTTGAAGTGGTTTGGTACTGTTCCAAAAAATAGCATCCGACTTGAAAACTGCATTTCTGTTTCAAGTATCACCTTCCTGCATTGTCAGTGGCTGGCTTTGAATTCATTGTACATGTCGTCATTGGCCATCCTGCAGGGCAGTCGTTTTATGCAGGACTGGATTGATGTCACTCATTACGGTAACGTCATTAGCATATTGCGTAACCGCTGATCCTGACACATATGCGAAAGTGGGAAGAGTTTGTCCTCTTACTTTCTGCGTCCCGTCTGTCAGGGTCATCCTGAGGAAGTTTCTTCAGGTAGTCTTTGAGAAGCATCTCGTATCGTGGGACTCTCTGCACGGGCTCCAGCATGTGATGCTGAAGTGTCAGGTTGCCACAAGCCTCTTGACTCTGCACACGCAGAGAAAACGTATTTGAACTTCACTGAGCGTTTCGGTTAAATTGCTTCACTCTAAAGTAAAAACAAAAAAAAACTTGGAACGGACCTGTATCTCCTGAATGATGGACTTGAACTGTGGAGATCGGTCACTCCACTGTTTCAGCAGCTCCATGGCCTTGTCGAAGTTCTTCACATACTCCGCATACATTTTGAGGAAGGGTGTGAGCTTCTGGAGGATGTCTCCGATGCGAGGCGTGGACTCCCTGTCGGGAGGAAGAAAGAAAAAAAAGAGGGCACGTGTTTTTGGGGACTTAAAGCCTGGAGGATTGTATGAGCCTAAAGCTCTGTTGGCGTTCGCATTTCTGATTTATGATCATGTAGCTCTGTCTACAAAAGACAAGTAATACTTTGAAGTCAGCAAACTCACCATTCTCCCATTCGTTTCTCTAAGTCAGGAAGCAAAAACTGACTGTGAAAAGTGTTGATGGAGGAGATGTTTGAGAAGATGTTTTTGACCACATCCACAGGGAATGTTCCTTTCATTGCCTCCTCCGTGAGCTTGGCACAAAATTCCTACAGCAGCAAAACACATTTAGTCCCATTTCTACTGGGTTTGCATAGCACACTTTTTTTGGTTATGCGTTGTCTGATGAAAGACGGAAGACAAAGACATAACATCTCACCTTTTCCAACAAGTTGAGTCTTGTAACGTAGGCCTTCTCCGTATGCAAGAGCTCACTGGCAATTTTATACAGTTTCTGCTCATTTGTCTCCTGAAAACAAGAAGGACAGATTAGAAAGCAACTCCACGTACAAGTCACATCATGGTTATTAATGAGAGTATGGGCCCTATTTTGGTAGACTGGCGCCTGTACATTTGGCGTAAAAAAACAGCACTAACTCCGTTTTTGTGCTGGTACAAGTCAAGTTTAGCATGAGGGACGCGTTGCGCCTCTCTGGGCTTTCCGGCGCTCTGAGTTGTTTCGCCACTGACTCATTTGATAACTAAGTCACAGAAACTAGTCTGTGCTTGGCATAAATATGGGCACATCGTCATTTTCGTGCCATGTTTGTGAATTTGGTAGATGCGCTGTGCCTCACTGGGCATTCCTGCCGCGCCCCCGGCGCATCAGCAAATTTGGTTACAAAAAGTAGTTGACATTTTAGACTCTGCAAAAGCAGGTTCAAATGGTAGGGCAGGCAGTGTAATGCAATTTTGGAGCATTTGATCGAGGCAAAGCGGGACACATTCTGCACTCTGTAGACATGTGGTTGATGTCGTCGGATTTTATGCATGAATATGACACATAGGACTGAGGGTGCAAGGCAACAATTGCCCATGTCACATGCATGGCTGACGATATCAACCGCAAGGGGAGATGTTGCATTTTACCACAGACCCCGGCAAGTCTACTTCTGTTTCCCCAATATTTGATGCAAACGAGGGAAGCCGCTAGGATGGACTGGGATAAGACTACTTCTATCCCACAATGGTGCACTAAAACACAAACGCCCCGTTGCGGCCAATTCTACTCGTGCAAAATCCAGTAAAATACCAAAAGAAAGAAAACCCTACCCATGCGTACAGTTAGTCTGTGCTTTTTGTTGGGAACGAAAATAGGGCCCGATGGAGTCACACACCGCACATTCAGGGAAGATTTTAAACTAATGTACAATTGTGGAGCATCAGTCTGAAACTCTTGAATTGCGTATGTCTTTAGTAATCTCAAATTAAACATTGACTTGCATGAAAGACATTGTCGCAAATCCAAAATGCTCAAAAAATATACTCAATTAAGATCAACACAAATTTAAATGATAATATATCATATCCCTTCCCAGATACAAGAATGCATGTGCAAATCTCTCAGCACCCGTAGAATCCCGAAGACAAACAACAGATCATGAATTCAATGGAGAAAAGAAGCAGATGTATTTTCTGTCCTGTACTAAAGCCATCATGAGCTGCTGACATTTGATTGCACATACAGCGCGTGACATGTGGCACTCACGTGTGTTATTGACACAGAGGTGAGAGTGGACACAGTTAGGCTGAGATCTTAACAGGAAATGAAAATATAGAAGAAGGGAAATCACAAAGAGCCAAACACAGCAGACAGGCATTGTGAGGCGGACAGTTATGAACGCGACCGACAATAACTGGGGGGGGGTGGGGGGACCCAAAACAATCCCAACAAAGCATCAGCGAATCAACAACTATCCAAGTATCCATCATCTTCATATTTGTGTGTTGTAATTAACACAAAGGAACAAAATGTTTTGTCAATGTTCATGTTTACAATAAATTATTAAATGTTGCTAAATTGTGGCAACATTTTGTGACAAAATAAAAATCGCAGTAAGAGGCAGTGCAGTCGTACCACACCCATAAACAGATTATTAAATTAATACTGTTGTACTCCTAAACACATTCTTTTCGACACTATTCTAAATTGCACGATTCTTCACAGACTAAGTGTTCTGATCAGAAATCCAGTAAAGGGGGCAAAGCCACTCATTTAACTGAATGGAAGACTCCTCCTCATTGTTCAGGTCAGCTGAGGCGTGAGTCTTTGGCTCCTCCTTCTCTGACTGCTGCCATCGATCCGGGTCTGAGATATTTATAATCCCCGGAGACGACATAAGCCTTAGGCTCCCATGGGCGAACTCAGCTGCTTAAGGATTCGACATCTGTTGGACCTCTGCAAAAAAAATAACTACTTGCAGTAGCACTCTCACACCATGCGAGGTTTTGCTAGGGTATGCTGTGTGGTATTAATCAGCATCGTAGTCCTTCAGTTGTGTTTTTCTTCAGTATGGCCGCCACGATCGAGGAGCTGGCATGACCTGCTGTTATGTCAACAACAAAGTCCCCCCGTCCACAAATTTCGACTTCTGAGCCTGCTCAGAGTTACGGGGAAGCTTGAAGCTATCACTGCAGAAATCGGGCGTAAGGAAGACCTGATTTGGTCGCCGGTCAATTACTGGCCACCTACAGACATCCTTTCACACTGCCCTCACACTGATCGCAGCTGTGTGTATCACTTCACTAGCAGCAACTTCAAACCAATGTCATAGCTTTGAATCAATTCACCATTTCTCAGCTCGGGCAATTTGGAGAACTGCAATCTGTGGTTGAGGGTTCCTCCAAGGCCATAAGTGGGTCAAGATCATCATGAAGTGCCTTTGGTGTCCTCATCAGAATCATCTCGCTAATGAATGAAACTCTGAGGTCTTGTGATAAATGGCTGAACATTTGTACGCGTGCCAGTACAAGGCTAACTCTCTTAAAATGTTCACGCTGCGGACCATTCCAACCGCATCGTCCTGCTGTTTTCTTCACTGTTTTTCTTGAGCAAAGCTTTGGAGGCTTACCTCGCTTTCTTTATTCCCCTTAAATGAAAATGACATCCAAAAGCTTCCTTTTCACTGATGCTAGTGGAAGCTCACCATGGTTTCGTTTTGCTCAGCACAGGGCAACAATATGGGCAGCAAGCATCCTATGTCATCATCCCAGAATGCAATACGCGTGCAAAAACATGGCGGCGTACAAGCAAATAACGTTTCTTCAAAAGGTATTAAACGGGAAATTCTTTGATTTTTTTTTTCCTTTTTTATTTCAAGAGTATAAGCACTTTTTTTCACAGTTTGGCGGGTCCTGAAACTTGCCTATACTCAGGTGCGACTTGTATATATTAAAACTAGAGCTCAGCCTGCCACCCAAAATCCCGAGGTCATGCCGGAAATGAATGGGGAGGGAGTGCGCTCTGCCTCACACAATGGCTTTGTCCAACTTCACAGGCTGGGTCCCCTGAGGGCTGTTTTTTCTGATGCATCACATCACTTCTGACGCGACTCGACTGCATGTGGTGTCCAAATTCATATTTAGCCTGCCCAAATTCGCTATGATTTAATGGAGGTTATAGGGGAGGAGGAGCCTTTCAAGGCAGCAAAGGACCCAACCTGTGATCTGTGTTTCTAGACATTGAAAACCACATGCAGTCAAGTTATGCTGGAAGTGGCAGAAAATGCGACCTTTGGAGGAGGCAGCCTGTGAATTTGGACACACAGCCACCCTCAGAGTGGTGCTAGAGCAGTGGTGGCCAACCTGCGGCTCGCGAGCCGCATGCGGCTCTTTGGCTGGTTCAATGCGGCTCCCGGGCTTTCACACGACAAGCGTCGAAAATGCCTCGGCAGTGGCGATGCCATTCAAACAAGGCGCTAACTACACAGAACGTACGAAGTCAGGCTATCATCAGTCCAGTTACTTGATTGACATAGAGGGCAACCAATTAGATGACTGCATCACCGCTTATGCGCAAACAACGGCGCTAAGCGCTAAGCTAGTCAGCGAATTACCTCTGTGTGTGTGTGTGCACACGCGCGCGCGAGGAAGGGTATGATGTGGCTCTTTGCAGTAACACAGTAAAAAAATTGTCTCTTCGTCTCTGACTGGTTGGCCACTCCTGTGCGAGAGCATCAGAGTGAATTTCCGAACACAGCTCGCGGTGATGGGAGCAACAGAGCTCCAGTAAGACGAAATGTCCACTTAAAACTACGAAAAAAGTTTTTTTTTGTGTGTGTTTAAAAAGGCTTACTTACACCAGAACTTTTGTTGCGGTAAAACCTTGTTAAAGTGTGAGGAAGCCACATGCGAAATGATGATACGTCACGCGTTTGTTGCCATGACTACTACAACATCTTCGTCTTCCATTTCTTTATCAGCTTCTTCTATCCATGGAAACCGAACAGTCGGAGTGAAGTTGTGCATGATTGGTGTGTATTTCCAAACGCACCCACCGTGAGAGAACAGGGATCTTGGGTGCGAGTCCCAGCTCTACCATTCCTGGTCTCGATTTTATAAAGTAAATTTCCGCCCCAAAATGCAACTTCTACATCGGAGCGACGTATAGTTTGAAAAATAGATGAATGCATGAATGTTTGCGAGCTGTTTACGTAGGAAACTGCAATTCATCATCATGATCATCAGGCAATGAATACATGACACACAAATGACTACAAAGAGTAGTTTTGCACGCACCTTCTGCTCTGTACCCGCCTCTTCCGCATGTTCCTGTTTCGAGTTAGTCCCACCCTCTTCATTTTCTTGGGAACTTTGTGAACCAGTCCTGTCCGTGCGTGAATGTGAGTCCTCGGCCCTGCTGTCCGTGCGTCCCATATCTCCATTAACCAGCTCCGTACTGTCTATACTCCCATTTTCGCCATTGCACGCCTTTTTCTCCTCCTCCTTGTCCTGCTCCATCTGCACTAGCACCCCGTTCGCCGTGGGCATGTGAGCATCCTGCGGTTTGGATGACGCAGAGTCCAGTTCAACTGTGGAGTCGTTCTCCTCAATCTTAGCAGCTTCCGTCAGGTTGTGGGAGGTCCGGTGTGCGGGGCTGCAGTTGGCCGACTTGCCGCTCTGTTTGAATGGCGAGCTGTCTCTCTTGTTGCCCGTGTTGCTGCAAGACCAAAAGAAGGCAAGTTGATGAAGACCTTCAGGATGCAAATAAATGAAATAAAAGCTAAATAACCCCAAAAAGTTCATGAGCTGTCCGAGCTGGCGTGTCGATCAGGAAGTGGAGGGGTAAGCGGAGAGCGTTGGCATGCAAGTTAAAAATAAAACTTGCACTGACTTCCAGACTTCTGTCTTGTGAGCTTGATGTGAGGCACAGGAGGTGTATGCGTGTGCGTGTGCGTGCGTTGAGGTACAGTAATGAGGAGGACAGGAACAGCTTACTCCCCAGAGGTAAAAGCTGTCCTAGTTCTACACACACCTGTGTTACAAATCGGGCTGCACATATTAAACATTTGCTTCATAAGCATGAATGGGAAAGCAAAAAAAAATCCCAAAAAAACCCATTGTGCCAAAAATAGACAGAAATACTCACTTGCCATTTCTCGCTGTCAAGTAACAGTAAAGCTTCACACTCAAACCATTACAGATATCAACCAACCAGACAAGTGTTATTTTTTGGGAGGCGGTCACTCTTGCTCCGCATGTCCGGCAGAAACAGGAAGCGTGTATAAATAGAGGAAGAACAACACACTGGCGCAACCGCTTGTCTCCTCTTGCGCTCGAACATAGAACGTCATCATCCTTTCCTCCCGGGCGAGCAAGAGGGACCGAATATTCCACTTGGTGCACACAATGTGTTTTTCATGCGGATAAATCAAGGCAAACCAACGTTGGATGAAATACATAAGGCGGCTTTAAAAGCAGTCTCGGCAGGTCAAAGCCTCGGTGGCCACGTGGCCACTTCGAAGCTGTTAAGTTCCATGTGAACCAGATTAGGACATTAGAAGGCTAATTCTGTTCACAGAAGCTGCAGGCTGGTCTCTCCTGTTGCAGGGCATCTTCGGGCTAATCTCTGCAGTAGGTTTTGTGGTCCAGAGTGGAAGAAACCGCTTGCTCTGATTTATCCAGTTTCACGTTTGAACTGGGAAAGCATTGTAGGATTCTGCTTATTCTTTGGCCCAAAATAAAGGTCATATAGAAACTGGACTAAAAGTGATGATGCTATCTCTTACTACGATATCCTCGAATCTACTCTCAGAGTGAAAGACAGCAGTGATGAGATTGCAGTAACCCGACTTTGACTACATGAACAAAGGCGTTAGTAACAAAATTCAAACGAGTAATTTTGTTTCAAACTGTAGGATTCTGCTTATTCTTTGGCCCAAAATAAAGAAACTGGGCTAAAAGTGATGATGCTATCTCTTACTATGATCTCCTCGAATCTCTTGTCAGAGTCAGTGGAAAGACAGCGGTGATGAGATTGCAGGAACCCGACTTTGACTACATTAACAAAGGCGTTAGTAACAAAATTCAAACCAGTAATTTTGTTTCAAATAAAAGTGACCACACGATGGAGGTGAATATGATAAAATGACAGATGAGAGTGGTGCCGCTGAATGATCCATACCTCTTTGTCTTGGTTTTCATGTCCCGACACTGACTGCTTTCCCACAACTGAACGAGGAGCTGGGTGTGTCCTGGGCTTCTCAAATCTGTTTTCATCCCCTCACCAAAGGCTGACCTGTAAACGTGTGCGCTAATCTCTTTCCCAGTTCTTCTCTGCCGCCTCGTCTCAACTATTGTCACCGAGTCAGTCAGAGCACTCCGATTGCAGCACTTCTGCTTTTCATCCATGACATGCCGCTCAAGGAAATGTTGGGAAAGACTACGTCTTTCCGCTTGTGCCGTTTCAAGCTGTCGGCGTGATTACCACAGCAAGAGTCTAGCTGCGTTATTACGTAGATTGAGCAGTGCAATGCATGGATTGTGGCACACAACGTAGTGGTGATAACCCTTATGATTAAATCAACCGCTGTGTGAAGCAATCTACAGGACACTCCCAAGTTTACTAAAGTGTGAACATCATGCGTCACTTTCACTCAGACTAGAAAATAAACAAACAAAAAATAAATTCGAGCCATTGTTTTGTTGGAATATGCCCATACAGCAGGTAAGAAAGAGAAACTAAAGTCTTTTTGGGGAGCCAATAATGCTGAATTTGGGGCTACGTACAACGCAACTCAACTTTATTTCTAGCGCACTTCAACAACGACCACAGCTGTACATAAGACAAGACCTAAAATAATAACAAACAATGAATAACCTAAATAAAATATGATTATTATATTATATATTATATTCGAACAAAAATAATCAAAATCTTACATAACCAGGAGACTGATACAACAGCATTTGGTTCTCTTTAAACCAGAAGACTCTGCAACAGGCAATCATGAGACCCCCAAGACGCTCTCTGTTTCTCCGCAGTGTAATATTTATGCCCCCCTCCACCCCCAGTTTTGGGCTCACCAATCCTAAATGACCTCAGCATTGAGGAAATGCTCTATCACTATAAAACACTGCAATACATTCTACTGCTGACTCTTATTTATTCCTCAGTAATGACAATTCACCACTATCTGACCAGGACAATCAAACAATAGACAGTTGCTAACCAATAGACAATCCTCATAATCAATAACATAAAGTCACCCTCTTGAAACTGACTGCAATACTGTATGCTCTTTAGGACAATATATGATTTCTTCTTACATGTGAGGTTATTGAAAAAAAAAAAAGAGATGCAGCAGTTCAAGTGAAATCACTTATGTCCCGCAGAAAGAAATGAACCATTGGAAGGCTCTACTATTCGTTCATATTTGGAATCATCATGGGCAGAACATAGACGTGGTCTATGCTTGCAGATCCCACACAGCAGAAGAGAGGAAAAAGGCTCCTTCCTACCTGTTCTCCTCAAATCGGCTGATGAGGTCTGATACTTTGGAGTGTTTGATTCTCACTCTCTCCCGGTTTGTCGCCCCCCTTCCTCCTCCACCTCCTCCCTCCTCCATCCCTGGTCTAAATTGGGGTTTCTGGTTGTGAGCCAGTGGGGATGACAGCTCTGTCACCGGGCTCTGAAGGTGTGCTGGCTTGGGAGGCACTAAGGACAAAATCAAAAATAAATGATGCTGGATTTTGCTGAGACGCATATCGACGGATTTCCTGAGGGGGTAAACCAATGCAATGCAAATTTAGGTCTGCGGGGGGCGCTATGGGCTATGTGACAACTACGTGGGGCCTGGAAGAACCATTCCAGAAAATAAGGATGCTCTGAGTTTTAGTATGAGTAACGTGTTCGTCAGAGTTCACATATTTGAAGGCCAAATGGCCAGCATGATTAACGGCTGCACAAGGAGGGTCTTGTGTGTCTTATCAGTGTAGAATGATTAACCGGGGAAAATAAAAGAGGAACAAAGGTCAACGTTCACTAGACTCCGAACAACTTACATCATCTGATTCCTCTTTTCACCGCTTTCCTTCGCTGGGTGGGACGCGTGCACTGCTAAAGACTGCACACGGTGACTGATGTATGCGGTACGATGGGGTATGATGGAAATGCAGTGAGGGATGTTATGACACAAGAAGGTTAGGCCTAAAATGAAGACAATGACTGTCGCTGCATTGTTTATGGTGGCTTTTTCTGACCTCCGACTTCAGATCGTCAATGTAGTGCAGTCATCAGTCAGCCGTCATTGCATACCTGGTGGTTTGGACTGTGACGGCGGCCTCTTGCCAGAACCTCTTCCATTGACGCCAGCCTGGCTCTTCTCGCTGCCCCCACTGCTTGCTCGACTCAGACACGCCTGCACACTGGAGTTACCTATGTGCCTGCATGACGAACTCCGGCCCAGGGCTGAAGGACACAAGGAGAAAGGAAGCGTGCTCGTTCAAATTGACAGTTGCTTTAAAGTTCTCTGAAATCGTTTTGTGACGTCATGTATACTGTCAACAGTTCTGGAGATGGTTTTATTGTTCAACTATAATTTACTTATGCCGCATGCACACCAAGGATGTGGATTTATGTTCGATACCACTTTTTTTCAGAGTGATCCTAGTATGAGTATTCACGCTTGAGTACTCACCAATAGCAAGCAGCATACCACTAACACTTATGAAACATCAAATATCATTTCACACAACGACAGATAATTGTTTGTTTGTTTGTTTGTTTGTTTGTTTATTGAACATATATAAAACATACAATAACAGATGACAAAATGCAAACAAAATTTATGAAAGGAAAATAAAAATAAGTACTACAAACATCATCACAGTTATATTATAATTCTAAACAAAGACCTCTTTCCGACATACATGATGTTTCACAGTGTCAATTGCCCACAATGTACACCAACTATTGGCAAGGAAAACTTGATTTTAAAAATGTATTTATTTTTTATTAATAACTTATTGGTGGCTGGTATCGACATCTTTCACGAGCACTCAATACCTTGAAATAAGGCAGGTATAAACCCGATAGTAATCCCTGGCATCGGTACTTGCCCATCCCTAATGTGGATTATTTTTTTTTTTCAATGCTACAACAACAACAACAACAAGTAAACATGACTGGTACGACAACAAGAAAGCTAGCCAACATTCTATTTAAAAACGTCTTACGGCATTTTGCTGTTGCATCTTTTAAACACACCCAACATAAGTTTGTCTTGCCTTTGCAGCTACAACACTCCTATTGGAACATGTTCTACGAAACTTCATTGTTTCTGTGACGATTTTTATCCATTCCCTTCTCTCACTCTACCAAGGGGAAACTAGTATCGATGGATGCTTGGATTAAACTCTGTAACGTAACCCTTTAATGGTAAAGAAGAGTTTTCAGAATGGACCACAAAGCAACTCCTAGACAATCAGCAAAGAAAAATATCCCATTCAACTGCATGAAACACAAAAGAAAATAACATCAGTGCATGTTGATATATTGTATTATTTCATGAGTTCACATTAAGAGGTGCGTCTTGATACTTTTGTCCATGTTATTTAGGAAATGGGAAACACTTCCCTCTACAGGACTTAGACCGCTTAAGATCAATTCAAACTGGAGTCATTCGCCCGAAATAATAGTTGTGAGTATCAAACAGAGTTCGCTAATTGTCCATCTGATGATGCAGTGAGGTTCCATCCACCCAGCTGGCCCCAGCTGGTGCAGCATTGCTGGTTATTTGGCTAGACAACAGTGAGGTAATGGAGCGAAAGATAGAGACTAGCAGTGTTAGCAGTAGTAGCCTTGATCTATTGCTCCGCTCTCCCTCTCTGTCATGCACACACATGCACATACACATTCACACACACGCCCTTATATGGTACCAGTCAAATGCCATCTCACTGTTTACAAGCTGTTTTTCCATATAAAGTGGCCACTTGAAAGTGGTGTGTGATTACCAAGTAATATCAATGTACTACGGTATATAGTGCAGAAATCGGTGCGGCTTTCTGTTTGCCTCGCTTTGCTTGTTTGGAGGAACACTGTGTGCTGGATTATTTGTGGAAGCTGAATCCTAAAGCCTAAAAGCATCCAGACCACAGAATGTCAAACATCTATCATTTAGGTTAGCCCTTTATCACTAAAGCCTGGATAGTTTCTGTGTGGAAGTGAGGTAGAAGACTTCCATCTGTATAAATCAATGAAAGGTTGACTTAAATTGTGCAAGGGTGTGGTTATCTATTTTAAAAATCCAGACAACATGGTTTGGACCTGAGTTTAATTAACGCTGGATTGCAGATAATTCCAAAGTATGCTTGAGTACACTTTACAGGCGTTCTAATACAATACTATCTTTGGCCACTTGTTTGATTTTTTGTTCATTCAGTGGCTAAACACAGTTTGTCAGCTAAAACTGATGATGTAGCCTCTCAAAGATGGTAGAATGTACGTGATGTACACTCACGAGAGACTACACTACACATGACTGACTACGATCGCCATATATTGTGGTCTTAAGGAACTTAAAAATAAATAAATAAATAAGGAAATTGGCCTCGAGAAGAATGATGGTCAGCCTACTCTTATGTTACACTAAGGTGTGTCCTGTATTTAGGATGATGGGCGTCTTGAAGCTTCTAACTCAGTCTGTCTATTTAAAGACTGAAAAGTAGTCATTGTGCTGTTTGGTATAACATTCAGTACCTTGTACGTATATTACATCTTGATGGCCAAAATCCAAATACTCCTCTCTGACAGGTGTCAAATCCAGGTCCAAAAAGTAAATCCTGCCATAGTTTGTTTTTAGCCACAGGTTTTCCGACTCGACCGGCAGGTAAACAAGCTCCTGAGTAGAAGCACCGGTGGCTAAACAAAAACTGTGGCAGGGTGAACTTTCTGGACCTGTATTTGATACCTCTGTCAGATAGGAGGATTGGCATTTTGGCCGTCGACATTTTGAAATACTGATGGTGTCATCACATGACAATTTTCTTACAAATTTACAGTACTTCCTCCGTGTGACATCTGGGCTTAAGGGTTAAATTGACACAAATCTATTAATCTGATGTATGAAGGGCAACACATGAATAGCAGGTTAATTCCATGTCGTACTTTCTTCCATGTAGGGGAGGAGTATTTAAATGTTCTTACTGTCAATATACATCACTGCCATAGACAGATTAACAAATCCGGATTATTTTCCGTCCATCCATTTACTTTTGTTTATCCGGGGTCAGGTCGCGGGGGCGTCTGCTTTAGTAGGGAAGCCCAGACTTTTCTGTCCCAAGCCACTTCTTCCAGTTCTTGTGGGGGGGATGCCGAGGCATTCCCAGCCCAGCCCGGAGACATAGGCTCTCCAGTGTGTCTTGGGTTTTTCCCAAGTGGGATGTGTCCAGAACACCACACCAAGCAGGTGTCCAGGAGGCATCATAATCAGATGCCCGAGCCACCTCATCTGGCTCTTCTTAATGCGGAGGAGTAGCAGCTCAAGTCTGAATCTCTCCCAGATAACCAAACTTCTCAACCTATCTGGTAGGGAGAGTCAAGACACCCTGAGGAGGAAACACAATTCGTTTGCTTTTATCCGGGATCTTGTTCTATCGGTCACGATGAACGACTTGGACCATAGATGAGGATAGGAATGTAAATCGACCTATGAATTCGCCTTCTGGCTCCCTCTTCACCACAACAGACTAATACAAAGTTCGTACCGCTGCATCATTCTTCCCTCAGTTGTGAACAAGACCCCACAGTACTTCAACTCCTCCATTTGGGGCAGGATCTTATTCCATTTCGGACCGAGGACCGTTCATCTCAGATTTGGAGATGCTGATTTGCATGCCAATTGCTTCACACTTGGTTGCAAACTGCTCTGCTTGACGAATCCATCAGTACCTGAAGTGTGTATTCTGCCACTTTCCCCCAACATACCACATTATGTACAAAAAGCAGAGATGCAGTACCGAGGCCACCAAACCGGACCCCTCAATACCTCGACTGCACCTAGAAACTTTTGTCTTTAAAGTTAATAAACAGAATCGACAAAGGGTAGCCTTGGCAGAGTCCAACCATCACAGGAAATAAATCTGACTTACTGCTGGCTATGCAGTCCAAACTCGGATATCGGTCGTGACAGGGAAGGAACAGCTTGTTTCGGGGAGTTTGGTACCCAATACTCCCAAAGCACCCCCCCGAGCCCCCCACAGAACTCCCCGAAGGACACGGTTGAACGCCTTCTCCAAGTCCACAAATTACATCTAGACTGGTTAGGTGAACTCCCACACACCCTCAAGGACCCTGAGAAAGGTGTCGAGCTGGTCCATTATTAATGATTGTATTAATTATGATTCATTATTTTCATGAAATTAATAATTTTGAGAAAAATGACATGCCAACAAAGTGTAATTGGACAATTTCCCACAGCACACTTGATGATCCAACACTGCACACTAAAGTGCTCATCACTATTGAAGTTTTTCTATGCATGTTATGATAAAATAGTCAATTTGTGTGTTTCTTCCTTTGTACAGCAAATAACTTTAAATATTGCATCCTTTGCGCAGCCTCAACTAAAAGAAGTTGACAAATGTTAGCAAAGGTGACATTAAACTGTGTTGTACCCTCATACATATTATTCAATACGTGTGTGTGTGTGTGTGTGTGTGTGTGTGTGTGTGTGTGTGTGTGTGTGTGTGTGTGTGTGTGTTTATGAACCTCAGTGTCATCAAAGCAGCGACTTTGTATTTCCTGCACTTGAATCTCGATGTCAATGTCTATGTCTAAAACAGGAAAAAAAAAAGGACGCAGATTCATATAGTCAGATACTATTTTTACAAGCTGACCGTAATTAAAGACAACAGCACTTGCCACCGTCTGAGTGGAAACAGATCCATGGTGTGTTTGAGAGAGCAGACTCTAAAAAAAGGGGCTCTGAAATGACCGATCAATTCCGAAGACAGCCTCAGGAATTTGTTTTACGCTGTGTGCTTGCCCCTTCTTGCCTCCCACGGTCACATTGAGATCATGAGAAAACTTGCAGGAGAACCATTTTTTTTTTGTATGTAGGATCCCACACATAGAAAGCACCAGGATGCAGACTGTGTCCCAGAAGCCACTTTTACCCTCGAGGATGGCGGGGGGGAGCCTGTCCCAGTCTGGGGGGTTGTTTTTAATGTATCACACGCCAATCTGGTCTGCAGCTGTAAGCCACACTGGTAGGAGACGTTTGCCGGAGCCATAGTTTCGCTACTGTGCGCTTTTGCAAACAGAGAAACGAGCAAAAGTTTCAAACACTGAACTAAAACAAAATTTTGTAGAATGATAAACAGCTTGGCAATACATACGAAACTAAAATGTTGCGTTTTGGTAAATTAATTTGTTGAATCATATTGCTGAATTCAGATTTGAAGATACAGGATGTACGTCTAACTGTCAAACGATGTGCCTTAGAGTGCCATATTCACACACGATTACATAGAAATGCAGCTTCTTGCATTTCATTGACAGTATAACTAATGATACCACTCTGAGAGCTTTACCCTAACACTGCCGTTGCTAGGTTGGAGCATCTCATTAAAAGCACCGTGGCTTGAGTGGCAGGGTACACAGTAAATTAGTAGCAGCCAGAGGCAGCGCCGCCCGGCAGAAACACTTCGAGTCACCTCCTTTGTTTGTGCCACTGCAGGAATGAGCCCTGCTGTCTGGACCTGAGTCTTGTTAACTTGGTTTTAACAAGTGTGAGAGCGCCAGCCGGGAAACAAAAGGCGCACCTGTGCTTTCGGTCCCTCTCTGACACACACATTGAGCCTAAAATGCACGCTTTGACCACACGCCACGTAGTCTCACCACACTCGGACCACAAGGAATGTCACATTGTGCTGCTTGTTGGTGGCTGAGCGGATTACGGATGCAGGCAACGCCACGTTAACCAACGAAATCATCAGAAAACTGCTACATCAGAGTTGGTCGAAAAGTGCAAACTGAAGAAGGTAATGGCTGCAATTGTGTCAGCCAAATGTTGAACAGGTGCTCTGTCTCCAACAAGACATTTTCTCCAGATTGTGAAGCTCACTCACCCAGGTAGAGCAGAAAAATACGATCACTTTGTTGTCATGTGTATCCTCCAGTCAGCTGTTGTGTGCCCAAAAGTGCACAAAGTTCTGTGAGTTCTCGATTCCAGTAGTGCAAGCTGCAGAATGACGCTCAGTGAGGAACTCAAACAGTTAGACTCCTCCCTGTTTCCCTCACTCATGCACCTTATATTTTAAGTGACTTTAAAACGGGCAAACACTGACATACGCGCACACACACACACACACACACACACACAGAAATGTTCACAGTTTAGGAATGTCAATAAAATGGTACTCGTCGTTCTAAGAAATAAAGCGTGATAAAAGTCTGATACTGTCTGATCATAGAGCAATCTCTCTTATCCCAGAATCACTGTCTAGACCACCATTTAAAATAAAGAATGTTTTCTCCCATAGGGGCACACATGCACGGTTACACTCATCCACGCACAACTTCCCGTCCCCAGGCTAATTACATGCGCAAACATACCAAGCCAAAATAAACAAGACAGCTGAAACAATGCAAACAAGATGTGAATCTTGTTCGTGCGTGTAGCGCTGCTCGCTTCAAGCAGGCCGCACACCGAGCACTGCGGAACTGGAACTGGACAATTGCGAACGAAAAAATCATTGGCAGGCCAAGCCCCAACAGCTCACGGCAACAGAAAAATGCGACGCCTGGCGGTTTGTTCGGCAAACAGCGTTATGAAGCCTCAGCTACATTATTTTATTGACAGTTAAAGTCACTCCACACTTTGCTTTTGTTTTTAACCACATGTACAAAGAACATTAAAACCCATTCAGTACCGGCCAATTCTAGACCAAGTCTGAAAAGACGGTTAAAAACATCTTTGGGAGTGAATGAGTTAAATTGGAGAAATGTGAGTGAGAAAGTGAGAAACGTGTTTGAATAAGTTTAAATGTGTTTAAAGCCAACGGCACGGGTGAAACTATAAATGAATAAATCTAAATAAATAAATATTACATGGTGTCCGCATATGTTCACCCATCGAAGGTGGGTCTGGAAGGCATCCCCTGTGTTAAACAGGGATCACTCTACTTATGTATACACAATATACTATCGTATACATTGCTGTGAAATAGTATTTGTCTCCTTCCTGATTTCTGTGCTCTTTGCATATTTGTCACATGCAAAGGTTTCATTCAGTTCAGCAAACCCATGTTAGTATCACAGAGACTAGCGAAGGGAATACAAAATGCAGTTTCTAAATGCCAATTTAATTTTTTAAGGCACAAAAAAAAAATCTAACACTACCTGTCCCTATGTGAAAAAAAGAGAGGCAAGCAGCAGCATTCTGGACCAACTGGAGACGCTAATGGAGGATTGGCTGACTCCAAAGTAAAGTGCATTCGGAGTAATACAGCTGGGATGTGACAATGACATTAATTACTGTTTCAAAGTGCAACCAAGAAGACCAGATTGCTCTTTATCTATCTGTAGGCAGTAATAAAGGCATGCATGTGTACAATCACCCGACTGCACATAGCATTCAAAAGACATGCAAGCTGATGAAACGCCAGGTATTACAAATCTCTTTCAGAAAACTTGTCGGCTGACTCTCAATTCCTTCCACTTGGGTAATGCATTGCCAGCGTAAATAAAATGCTAATTTCCAAAAACAAAAATCTTGCTGTGGACTAGTGTTGTCAGGCCAAATGTGACTTTATGGTGCTAAAAATAAACTGCCAGAAGCAACTCTGTTAACTGACATAACAACTGAGTCTGGGGACAAAGAGGCCAATGAGTTTAAAAACCCTTATGCGCCGGGAGCTACCATTTTGGTAAACGTTTTTGCGTCTTTTGTTTAAATTAAGAGCTTGAACACTGACACAAATCATCATCGTAATAAAATGTCTCTTAAAAAAAAATCTTACCCTCATGATGACTGAAAAAAAAAACAATATAATTTTTCAAGGTTCTACATATTGTTGCTAATAGTCACTAATGTCTTTTTTGAAGGTAAAAGTGGTTGAAAGATAAGCGTCATACTCATCTGTTGCTTTTCAGTTTCAGTGACAAAACACTGCTATAAGTGTAAAGGGCCCCCCTGTCTGAAAATTACCATTCAAAGATGGCACACAACTGCTTGACAACAAACCAACATTGAGTCCAAGAACTAATTTTTGCATTTATAAAAATAAAAACAAAAATCAACTCATGCAAAGATTTTAATATTATACTATGTTCGTCCAGCATGTCATTCAATTTCGTCAAATGTATGATACAGTTCACTTTGCTTTTTAAAGGAGCCAAAGAAACCCGGTCCATTTCCCCTGCATGGCGAGTCTGCCATCCGTCACAACGGTCTGTCATCCGTCATCCATGTTTTAACTGGGTCCGATTTTATTTTAAAGTCTAAATAAAAATCGCTTCAAAGCCACACATTGCGTTTTCTAAACTCATTTTCAGACAGGATAATTTCCGAAATTCACACGGTTCGAAATGAGTCACATTTCAGTTTCCTTGTTTTCACGAGGAACTACAACAACTGTTGTGCAAGATTTAAAAGAGTGGAGTGCAATATTGTGACATGCAGTGCCAGACATTAACTTTCACCAGTGTATATAAATCATACAACTTCTCTCTGCCAACATTTCAAGCCCGTGTGCCACTCATTGGCGCCAACACTGACTAACCCCGCTGCTGATGTTTATTATCACGTAAAAACACAATCCATAAAACAGCCATTGGACCTGGTTTCTATCATTGTCAGATGTCCTACATCTCCCTATGGGATTAGGGGGCGTGTGTCCCATCTGGCTTTATGTGAAGCTTTTGTTGTATCCACCATAACTCTTGTGTCTGCGTGTGCGTGTGTCTGCGTGTGTGTCTGCGTGTGTGTGTGTGTGTGTGTGTGGGGGGGGGGTATAGAAAGTGTGACACATCACAATTAGCAGCCGGCAGGGTGACTACGACCAGACTTTGTTCAGATTAACCCAGCCTCATTTTCTAATCCAGAGGCCAATGTAAGATTAGACACATCATTTCAGCATTGTCAGGAATTGCAAGTGCAGCCTCAAAATGAGGAAGAATGCGATGAAAGAGAGGAAGATGAACAGAGGGGTGAAGGAAAGGTGGAGGTGGCAATCCACACCACTTTCAAAGAAAGAGTGAGGACAGTAACAAAGGCAAAAAGTTAGACGGGATGAAAACATTTGAGCGCAGAGATAAAACAAACTTGACGGTTAAAATGAATGCTACTGTATACAAGAGAGAAGTGCAAGAAAGCGAAAGACAGAAAGAAAGAAAGAAAGACAAAGAAAAAGAGAGACAGAAAGTAAACAGACAGAAAGACAAAGAAAAAAGAAAGAAAAACAAAGAGAAAGAGAGAGAGACAGAGAAAGAAAGTAAAAGAAAAAAGAAAGAAACGAGAAAAACAAAGCGGCAAGTAGGCGAGGATTTCATATATGACACGGATATCTTGGTCTTAAAAAACAAAACAAAAAAAAAAAACCTAAAATGATACCTTTGACATTATGGTTAAACAATGTCGTGGTGCCAGAAATATATTCCATATCTTCCATGTTTGTGGGGTATTGAAAATAGCTCAGTTGGAGCTCAATGCAAGAGTGAGGCCGGCTGGGATAAACAAATGGAGAGACAATGCTCTGCAGAACTTGCACTTGGACTCTACATGAATAAACACATTTGTTTGGAAACCTTGAGTTTCCTTTTAAGAAGCTCTATTTTCGATGGCATACTATATTACAAAACGCAACGAGAAAGACGGACCCTTAAAAGTCTAGCAGGTTAAATTCTAGATTTAAAAAAAAAAAAAAATCGTAAACGGCTAAAAAGCTTTTTTTAAAGCCACTGTACCCTTTAGATGGAGTGCTGTAGAATTGGCTCACATTTGTATATGAGTTGAAAGCGACTGGTTCAGCAACACATGAAAAAATGAAAGACGTATGCAAGGTGAGCGTGGGTGATGCATCTTACCTCTGGAGGGCTCAATTTTCACAGGAACACAGGCTTCTTCATCGGCACACTTGGACTGGAAACACACCGCGTTATCGTTCGTCTCTGCAACCACATGAGACAGAATTCACTATTACGAGGCAACCTAGATTTCATTACAGACTGAACATTGGAGTTAATTAAAAAAAAAATCTGTTTAAAATCACAGGCAAAGCTTCACAGAAGTGAGAAGATGCACACTGTTGTTGAGGAAGGTGCTCATCTTGATACGAAAGCATGACTGCAAACAGCCCTCTTGTGCCCATCACAACCAGCCTTATAGCAGATTATTTTTGAACGCACACACTACCGGTAGTTGGATCAGACCAAGAAGGAGAAACTGGAGCGTTCATCGTAACCCGATAATAAATGCATTTTAGCACAAACTATTTGTTTGCAAGGTGGTTAAAGATGACAAATGAATGAATATAAATCGACTGCATATAAAATGTCGATACACCTCTTTCTCTGCAGACCATAGCTTTTGCTGTAAAATGTAACAACAAAAAAGTCAGGAAAAGCCTAGAAGAACAGCTGAACTTCATTTGGGGATAATGAGAAGAACCTTAAACGGTAGCGGGTGCGTGCTGACTCCCATTTAACATGAGCTTGAAATGAGATCAGTTCATTCTGAACACAGCAAAAATCCCCAGTTATGAGTGGGCATGCACATTTATGGAACCACATTATCCCAGTGGTTTATTTTTACTTTCACTCTCAAAACATATTTTTTTGTCCAATTCAGATTTATAAGTATTCGGTCACATTAATCGTGGTATCATCATTATCCTGGCATTTAAACAACAGTGGGTAGCCACTAAGGGTGTGTATCTCTCCACAAAAGACCATTATATCCTATTTTCAATACAATTCAATTAGTTATGGTACGGTTGCAGCTTTCTCCATGTTTATCCATATGCAACAATGTGTAGAAAACCCTCCAAAGCTGCAAAATTATCCAAATTAATTCAATTCAAAGAAACGAAAGAATCATCAGGAACATCATACCAATTCATATTTGATGTGCATCTCTCATTATCGATAATTCGATACGTATTTCGATACATGGTTTGCAATACGATCGAAGGATTCAACAAATTAAAAATGTAACGATTCGATTCATCGAATCAAAAATTATCTCCTGAGTGTATGTCCCAAATCACATCTAAAAACAAAATTTAAAAATATAGATTGCTTCACAAGAAAATCTAAACATTTTAAGGGCATCAAAAGTTGACATTCTTCTTTTGCGAGAAAAAACAGGCAACCGAAATAGTCAAGATGTGCCATGCTAATAATAGACACCACCCAAAACAGAATCAGTTCCTTTAATTTGATATTTATTTGAAATCCATCTATAAATGCACAGCACATTGCCTGCACACAAACAAATTCTCAGGCACTTACGATCCACAGCCGGCCATCATATCGAAAGATGGAGAGGTTTCTGTTAACGCCAATCGGAAGACAACTTGTTTACTTGGGAGAATGCAAAGCAACAGCCTTTGTAGACAGAAACTAATTAGCCTGTCTGGCATATGTAGGGCATCATCTATGGGACAGCTAACAATCATTATAGGCAGCCTGTTAATATGCACATAAAAGATGAAAGGGAAAAATAGTGTTTAAAAACAAAGACGGGCTTAAAAGCCTATCGAGCCCCCCGCAAAACACACACAAGTCAGACAATTAAAAAGCAACACGCTCACTGGCAACTCAAATAAGTAAAAAAAAAAAGGTAAAAATAAAAGCTGCAAGACCAACAAAGCAGTTAACATGGAGCAGTGTGCATGCAATAAATCACAAAATAACATTTTTGAAGTTGAAATGTAGACTACTTAATGTCGATTAAGTAGATGTGCAGGACTAAATTGGAGTCCAGATGAAAATAACTGAGAAATCACAAAGGACAACAATTATGCCACGATGCATCGAAAATTATCCACACTGGAAAAAAAGTGTGTTCAATTTACTCAATCTTCTTTTGTCAAGTCACCTGGATCCAAATAATTACTTGTAAAGTAGTTGTACAGTCTACTTAATGTAGTCTATTACATCTAACCATGTGTACGAGTAATGCAATCACCCATCCATACATTCTCAGGAGCGCTTATCCTATCATACCCAGTAAGAGTGAGGCTGCAATGCTTTAAGAATGATTATTCAATAAATTCGCTACTTGGAAATATATGTGCAAGTCCCTTGTTTTTAAATAGTAATGTTGCGGACAAGAAAGGTCGACTAAGTCAAAATAATGACTTACAGTCAGAGGGCGTGTGTGTGTGTGTGTGTGTGTCAAAATAATGTCTGACAGTCAGAGGGCGTGTGTGTGTGTGTGTGTGTGTGTGTGTGTGTGCGTGTGTAAAGAAGGGGGTATAATATTCTGGCTCATGGATTAAACTAGATCTTTCTCCACCCCCCCCCCCCCTCCCCACCAC